TGAGGACGTTTACTGTCTTCACCGTGGGAAATTCGACTAATTTTCTTGCATCACCTGATGTGACTCATGGTATATTTCAATTAACTATCTTGTTAGCTGTGGTCTCCACCTACCACCTAGACATTGTCCCCCAACCAAAAGGACTTGTCAATCCTTCTACATATAATAGCGGCCATATTTGATATCTCACAAAGTATTTAGTGAGTAGACCTTCTTGATAAAACAATATTTTTGAGACGATGTCGATGCACTCTGTCACCATCTACTACAGTCTCCTACAACAGTGTCACATTTTCGGGCTCCTACTGCAACGTTTCTCCTCGACCATTCGCTCATGGAAAATCCCTATGCTTTGCTCCCCGAGACACAGAAGGCCTATACACAGGCCATAAAATACGCTTGAAGTGTTTTGTTGTTTAATCTGTGAGAAGCAGACGTTGGAACAATTTGATTTAATTTTCGTCATATTACTTCGAATTTGTTCATGGCTTGAAATAAAGCCAGTTTTCCCTCTGGTTGAATCTCCTAAATAAATTTGGTCCACCGTAACTGTAAGAAATTGATGCACTTTAATGGCATGAACATCTATTTCTTCTTTCGACTTAAATTAAAATCCTTATGACATTTTGAACGTTGCTGTTATGTTCTAAACTATAGTTTTTTATATCCTTTTATCATAATTATTATGATAACTACTGTGTCAGAGGACTTCGGACAAGGTGCGTTCTACAAAGTCCTTCTGACAGCAAGACCAAGTTGCAACAACGAGGTTTACCCACTTCTATAAATTGAAAGGAGACTGCGACCATACCGGGTGCCACACCATCTTGATCTTCATATATTCGATTAACTCTTTTGTATTCATCGTTGGCATAGGTGCTTTGCTGTTTGGAAATAGGAATGCTCTTTTTTTATAACATTCGATATTTAATTAAACTGAAACGAAGCTTGAAAAGCGTGTTTCTAGTTTATTTTGCCTTTATAACTACAATTTTTAGTTTTTGTTGCGCTACAACACTTACACAGGATTTGCTTTGCTATTTTCTCGATATCATTGGTCTAGTTAGGTGACCAAGCCTCCGACACGGCGAATGGCAGCCTGAACAGTTTAGATACTGGTCTCGGCCTTGGTGTTAGCGGAATCAACCGATTACCCGTTTTCCTATCTCCACCTTCCTCTGCAATGGCCACAGCTACCTCACTGAGTTTCGGCACCAGCACCAGTCGGTCTTTAGGCGGCGCCATGTCCGTACCATTGATGCCGGTAGACAGCATGGCTACGCTTTCAGTGACCCAGAAAGAGCCAACATCTGTAACAGGTCATATTTCCGCG